AGGTGCTATTCCTATTCTTCTTCTGGAAAAACGAAAGAGAGCTTCAAAACAGACTGCAGCGCCATCTGAAGCAAAGAGCATACTTCCTGCGGACACTTTTTTGGCTGAGTGGCCCATCTTGTCTTGTACTATCTTTGCTAATAGCATTAGGTATCGATGTATCGGTATCGATATCTTGAAAAAGTACTGGATATCGACATCGATACCTAAATTGGGGTATCAGCCCATCACTAGTGTGATGATTACTTTGGGGAAAACGGGAATCAGGGATTGTCCAAAATAGAGAGTGGTCCAAAACAAATCTTCGGGAAATCCAGCATCTAAAAATAGAGGCAACGCCCACTGAAAATCATAGATTTATAGCTCTAGATTGTACACTATTATGGCCGCTGCTGTTCGCTATGAGTTTGTGCTAACGATAATCAGACGAAATAAAAATCCTCCTTATTTATAGTAGTCGAGCATGAAAGGCACCACCCAGTGCCTTGTTCTTCCTCCTTTGTCTTCATTTGTCTCAAATGTGACAAATTTTAATTATAACGCAATGTGCCCCATTTGAATGGAAATACGCAAGGACCTTACAAAAAAAAACTCCTTGGAAATACGTCAGAGTCAAGGAGATTACAGTTCTAGCATCTGCGTTTGTTGCCAATTTTTTGTTCAAAAGTTGCCAAAAAAGTTGCCATTATTTCTCAAGCTTTCAACTCTCTGTGACGACGTATTATATAGCATGTTGATAGAGGTAATTAAACTTAATCTAAAGCACCAGAATTTTTGATGTTCTGTTTCAAGCAACCAGAATATCATTTTTAGCCAAACAGGGAGTAAAACGTGAAAAATAAAGTTTCACAACAGAATGAAATCAAAATTAGAATAGCACATAAACAACCTAAAACATTAACACAAAAAGACGTGTGTCCACCTAGCTATCCGAAGATTGGCCGTTTTAACCCTAAACGTGTGTAATTTAAGAAAAAGTACAGGATAAACTTACATGTAAATTATGGAATCACGCACAAGTGGCCTGCCAGTGTCAGTATTTAGTTTTTGTAGAGACACGCTCTACTAGCATAGCACATTTGTATTTTAAAAAGGGTGGGAACAAAATCAAATGAAATGACATACGCTATACAAACAGCAAAAACAAAAACAGAACACATCAGAACAATAACATGGAAAATTGAAACACACTAAAGAAGGACAAAAGGGAAACAGCAATACATAGATAGTATGTCATGTACTCATTCTTCACAGGAAATTTCATTGAAAATAACAAATCAACGTGGAGTCAACAAGTGAGAAAGAGACGAAGTGAAGCGGAAGTGAAAGCGAACTTTCTAATTTTTCTTTCTAAAAGTAAAGTTAATGAGGTTCGGTTTCGCTATTTATTTATTTTTTTCTTTTGATATGTTTTCTTCTTTTTTTTGTTTCTCCATTTTTATTCCCCTGGGCTTGTTTTTCGATTATTTTTTGTAGAGCGTGGTTTGTTGTTGGTTTTTTGTTGGTTTTTTTTTTAAAAAATTTTTTTGGGAAAAGGCAAAAATCGCAGCCACGATTCGCGGACCAAAATTTGCCAAAAATCGTGGCCGCGATTCGCGGGTCGTGGCCGCGACAAACGCAGATGCTTGACAGTTGTAGTTGTACGGTCCTTAGTCAAAGTGAATTTTCTTTAGTGCGGACAATTGTTTTGAACGGGTCAATCCAGAGAGCGTAACTATCGTACAGAGACGCTGCAATCCTTTTCCCCTCGTCCTTGGTGTGTTCTCGGAGGATCGAGAGATCAGTGGCGGGGG